AAGATACATTGACTGTTTTCGAGCTAATCCGTTATGTTAAGGAGGAAATGCTAAAGGTGAAGTTTGTTGGGCGCATTCTTTTTTTTCTTATTTACGACTGTAGCGCACCTTATCTGCTCTTGACTCGAATGTATGGGTTAAGGCCCTCATACAGTACCCATTGAAGGTGGACGATCTATCATTCGCTTTTGATTATTCTCTAGTTTGAGGGCATTGAAAGTTGTAGATTGTTTGCTAGTGTCATTATTATTGTCACAATTATATTAAACATAATTTAAATTAGGATTGTACCAGAAGTGATATGCTTGTTGATGGTGGTACGGTTACACCTGGTGTATTGGTGTTGATCAACGAATGCGATTGGGAGCTACTGGGATGCGTAAGTTTATTTCTCAAAATAGTTTACGGAATGAATAGATCCATGTAACTTCAGGAACAAGCTGAATTACACAATGGTGATGTTGTTACGTTCTTGTCAACTTTGCACGGCGGATGAACTCTCGTTCTTTATTTTTGCGACTTTCCATAGAGCTTATTCACTTCATGGATGCTGCTGGCGAAGTTATATGAGCATCAGATGTACCTTACCCTCAATGTAAATACTTTGCTCGATTTTGTTTCCGGATTGATACTCAGTTAATAATTACCGTTGAAAAGTGAAGGCATTGGGCCTTATTCAAGAAGTATGCAGATGAATCTTTTGAGTATGCTGATTAATTTGCTATTAACTGCGCAGATTAGTAGAATATCCATTCACGGGTTATAAAAACCGTAAACTTTCTTTCCTTAGTTTTTTGGCAAACTGTCTCAGTTTGATAGTGATTTAGCATTGAATTCCTATAGCACATGTTCAATTCATTCACTGCTTCTACCAAATAATTGAATAATGGAGTCCTCACGTAAGCTTACGCTTACAAGTTTCGTTATTGTATAGAAGGTAAATACCACAGGGACAACATTAGGTAAATAGTTCATACATCCACATACCCACCTCAGATTTGAGGTTGGACAGTAACTCACCTTTATACCTCTAACTCATTGAACAACTGAACAAACAAGTGCACTTTGACTGGGTATCAACTTGCAAATTCCCTCTAACAGAATTGGAGACGGGCGGAAGATTAGATGCTTTTGTCATAAGAAAATCTGCAGCCTTTTATGAGCAGATGAACTCTCTCTGGAGTTTGAGCTTAATATTGCTTTTCTATAAACCGTAAACTTTCTTTCCTTAGTTTTTTGGCAAGCTGTCTCAGTTTGATAGTGATTGAGCATTAAATTCCTATAGAACATGTTCAATTCATTCACAGCTTCTACCAAATAATTGAATAATGGAGTCCTCACCTAAACTTTTTCGTCACTTCGAAAAGCGAAAGACGGTAAACTTGTTTTTCGAGCGAACACTGGTTATACAAACGATTTCAATCTTGGAAAGCTCAGCCTCAAACTCCAGGCTTCAAAGGCAGTGTCCCATCAGATTTTCGACTTCGCTTTTCCTTTTCTGAACCATTTTGGTGTGCTCAACACGAATAGCAACATACCATAAAATTGTCAAAAAATAGACTCCGGGTTCTCTTTGGATTGAAGGGATGACTGACGAGGAGCTTTCAAATTTACGACTTTTGATCCCGGAACGATGGGGTACCTTTCTCCTAAGAAATAGTGAAGTTTTTAAAGAAAGACGGCGCTAAATCACTGAGTGGGCGGGGTGACCTAAAAGGGGCGGGCTGAAAACCTCCAGAGCGATTTTCTCGCTTACCATGAAGAATTATTCGCGGGGAATGCTTAGTCAGAGAGTCGGCTAATCATCTGAGGAGAACTCAAAATCTTTAGTTCTGCTGGGACACTGCTTCG